TAGCTTCTAACTCAGCTATTGTCTGGTCATCTTTCTCATGTCTTTTTTCTAAGTCAGCTATCCGAACCCTCAAGCGCTGGTTCTGATATTGACTATCTGCCAAGCGTCTTTGGGCAGTCTTCATCTGTTCCTTCCAAGCTTTCTCATCAGGCCCCTCAAACTTCCTTTTCAGGCTATGAGCTTCGTCTTTCCAGTATTCAGTGGTTACCTTCAACTTGGAGTTATCCTTGACCTTATCTTGATACCCCTTTCTCAAGTCTTCGAGCTCAAAACGGACTCTTTTTTGTTCTTTTTCTAGTTTTTCTGCCCGATCTTTCTGAGAGTCAGCATCAAGCTTCCACTGATAACGTTCAGCTTCAAGTTCCTTTATTCTTTGCTTCAGCTCATTATTCACGGCTTCAAACTCGGTCTTGGCTATCTCAAGTTCAGAAGGGACATGCCTGAGATGTTCTTCCATGGTCCGGGTGTCATCACAGTCTGGCACCGGGATATTGTCATTCTTTCTCAATCTTCGCCACTCCATATAATCTGGAGTGAGCATGCTTCTGGCAGCTACAACATCCATTCGGAATACTTTCCTCCACGAATCGGCTGCTTCTTTGATCATCTTCTTATAGCTGTCGCCGTGATACTCAAACTCTGACCTAGCTAAACCGCATGTTGCTGGGACAAACTGACGTGCTCCATACTGTCTAAGTGCTAATAGCGGAGCATACCCGACTGCTCCCCAAAGTCCAAGTAAGGTCACAGTGTCGGAGTCACCACATCGAAAAAGAACATCACTGAGGAATAACCAAGGGGCTCTCCAAACAATATCTCGGTCTTGAAGATGCGTAAAGACCTTCATCCATTTTTCTTTCGAGGCGCCTTCATGCCATTTTAAGGTAATAAATTCACCTAGAGGTGAATAGGTGGTGCTGAAACGGCGGTAGGCAACCCCGTCAGTCTTCCAGAAGTGGCTGTGAATCCAAACCTGAAGAAGTTGAATACACCCGGAAAATCTTCCTCCGCCAGTTCTTCGGCAATGATTGAGAGATCGAAAGGTCTCGGCTAAGATGGCTGGTGCTGGGTTAACTCGTTTAGAAAGTTGCTCAAATAATTCCACCACGGCAGCGTCAATGCACCCCAAAGCCTTCGGAAATATGATTAAACCGTACAGACCCAGTGCAAAAAGGTCTATAGTCTTCCACTCATCAGGGTGGTTTTTCATTAGTTGCTTTATATGGATCCACTCGATTCCTTCCCCGCTACCTTTGTGCCGGAGTCGATCAGTCACCCACTTTTCATCAACCCCTGCAATCTTGGCCAGTCCGTTCTTGAAGGGCTGACTCTTGATATGTTTAATATATGCCCTCTCTAGTTTGATGCTTTCGCAGTGTAGTAGAGTAGTATACTCTTCGATAGTAGGCACCATGTCTTCCTGGTTAAAGGTGAAACAACTATATCCAGGGTTCCAGAATTGAATTAATGCTCGGAGTAAGGGCTCATCAGTCTTGACATGGAGCAAGAGGGCGATATCACCATATCGTTGGCTGAACTTCTGCTTTCTGTCATTTTTCCAACTGTCCCAAATGTTTCGCAGCTCTTGGACATTATTCTGTTTCAGGCTGACAGCGGCATAACTAACCAGTTCTGACACATAGTTTCCCTGAAGACTGTCTCCCTTCTCTTTCTGAGCCTTCTCGGACCATAGTCGTGCCTCAGCGTTTTCAATCTCTTGTATTACAACACCTTTGTCCATTAATTCGAATTATTTTGTGTATAACAAACGCTTTTTAGGGATCAATAGCCTCTTGTAATGATGCAAATGCTAGAAAACAAACACAAAGGCAAAAACGTTAGTAAAATAAAAAATACAAATAAGAAATGACGGAAGAAAAAAGCGCAAAAAAAACATGGTTAGGGTAAAAATATCCTAGGTTTTGGAACGTGGCTTCGGGGTAGGCTCTAATTCTTCATGGTCTCCCGGTTTAGGTTTTAAAAAACGGTACCCGAGTCCTCCTTGTCGGTGCCCCCTTGGGCTTGCCAGACCCTTAGTCCTAAACCCATCACAGGCTTGTGTGGACTAAGTTAAACTCGAGGGGACACATTCCCTTATGCCCGCACGGTGAATAAATTCACACGAAGACATAAGGTATATGAATCCCGAAGGCTACTTGCTAGGCCCGCACGGTGAATAAATTCACACGAAGGCGTCGCTTTCACCCCCACTTAAAATAGGAATTGGAGCTCGGGTATAGAGCCTTAAATGAAAAAAACTTTGAAGTCTGAAATCATGAGAAAACGATTAGTCCAACTATTTACTCGAAAATATAATCAAAAGTAAGTAAAAAGGATCGAAATATTACCTTAAAATTTAAACTTACCATTTTCGTAAAAAGACAACTGGAAATTACCTTAGCCTGACTCGCTTACCTCAAAGTCCCCAGTGGAGTCGCCAAGCTGTCGGAACCGTCTTTCGGTTGGGCCCCGGAATTGGGCTTCGACTTAGGAAAATGTGGATTGGAGTCGCCACCGATCATTTGTTTAAAGATAAATGGGTTGATCGGATACCCTATTTCTTACATGATCTGCGTCTTACCAGAAATATGTCGGGCTCGGGAGTCGGTTACGATCAAGGAAGGATTAGCACCCTTGAACCGCCCTTTCGGTACTACGTATTTTCCAGTTGTCTTGAGTTACGAAAAATATAAGTTTAAATTAAAAGGTAAAATATCGATCCGAATTACTTACCGTAGATTGGTTTGAAAATTGTGCCCTTCAAAAGTGAATGTGTTAGAGTGAATAATGTAAGGAATAGATGAATAAAATGAATGAACCCAAATAAAAAGGAAGGAAGAATTGATGAACATGTGACTTAAAAACAGGAAACAAATAAACTAAATAAATTAGAATAAAATGTATAAAAATGTAGTAAAAAAAATATAAACACAATAATTAAAAATGGTAATAAGATAATAATATACGGAAAAAAAAACACTAAAATATATAATAATATTAAATAAACAAAATAAACATGTGCATATATATTGCATAAATAAATGAAGATAATGGAAATAAATAAATAAGTAGAACAAATAGAAGAAGGAAAAAAAGAACAGAAATAAAATGTAAATATAAGGTAAGAATATATAAGCGAAATCATAATAATAAAATAAGAAAAGAGTATAAAACAGAAAATCAAAAGTAAAAGGAAAAATATGCATATAGGAAATAAAATAGGAAATATAAATATACAATAATACAAATGATCAAAAACGATATATACTAGAATTAATAACGCGTAGTGTATATATATATGGAAAAATGGCGCACATAGAATATATATGTATGTAAAATATAACAATAATGAAAATATAATATATAATAATAATATAGGACTAAATTAGAACAAAATCGAAATAAAGGGGCAAATTGCAAAGGAAATCAGAAAATGAAAACGATTTGCAGCGAAATTGGGGCCAAATTAGAAGTTTTCAAAACGATGCTGATCAAAACAAAAATATCCTATTTTTCGCGAAAACACGCGGATCCTTCCCGGGTCAGGGTCGACACGCGGGTCACCGCTCGGATCCATGGGTTCAGTATTTAAACCAAAAATTTCCTAAAAGCTTTATTTTTCTTTCTTCTCGACGAGAGCTCCCTTCCCTCTCTCTCGTTTTCTCTCATTGTTCATGTGTTCTTGATGAACACATGAGCGCCGCCTCCAAAACCCAGATTCCGACCGCCGTTTCCGGCGCCGACCGCCGCTCGCCGGCGATAGAATATGAAAAGTTCCGGTTTTTATTGAAGCCCTTCGTATACTCGTTCCAACGATCCAAATAACTTTCTCAAAAAATGAAGCCTCGGGGGTAGATCTAGACTTGAAGGTTTCGAGAAAAAAAATTCTACCCCATGTTCATCGGCGTTTTAGCGTTTTTGGGTTTTTCAGAGTCGAATATTGAAGAGTAACAACATGCAAAGGCGAAAAACGAACCGATAAGGTAAAAAGAGCTACCTTTATTTCCTTTCAAAACGTTGTACAAAGATTCGGCTTGCTTCTCTATATTTGCTATAGATGCGTGGTTGTTTCCGTATTTTTTTTTGTGTCTCCCCTTAATACAATGGGGTTATATCTTATTTATAGTACAAGAAATAAACTGTCCTTAGAGATTGAATCCGAGTAAGACTCGGTTTGGTTGTTTGGAGTCCTACTAATGCACGTTGCTTTGCTTTTGTTTCACGTGCTTACGTTTGTTGGTGTTGAGGATTTCATGGCGCCGAGAAGATCGGCTGAGGGAAGCGTGGGTGGCGAGGACTCGTGAGGCAAGGATTGCGGCGCTAAGGAGGGAAACTGCTAGGGTTTCTGGAAACTTGGGTTTGGTCCACTGTTGGGCCCTGAGAAGAAGAGAAAAAAAAAATGTAAATATAATATAATTTATAATATATATTGTATAATATAAGGACGAAATTTAGTGTATTCAGGGTAAAACCTTAATTTTATCGGATCAGGTCGGGTTACGAGTGGAGGATCCTTTCTTCTCGGATCGGGTCGGGTGGCCCAAAAACCCATTGCCATCCCTAATTATTTCCCATTCATTAATAGGTTATGTAGAGCATGATTGTAAATTCAAATGTTTGCGTTCAACGGGTTGTAAAGTCTGTTATTTTACATGTGCTTCGATTGAAAATAACAAAGAAAATCTGTGTGGGTTCCACTTTGTAAATCACCCGCACTGTTTTTTTTAATAAAATTTTCCATATTTTCAGTGTCATAAATAAATACTAAGAGAAAATTTAATTATGCTCCTCGAAATCGTAAATAGAACCTCTTTTTTATTATCAAAGTAAAATATAACTTAGTGCTATTACTTTATTTATATTTCTGAATAAAACTTGAAAAAAAAGGTGGTATCGGGCATTGGGTGCGACGCCCCTTTCAAGAGCAGTGGAGATGAGTCGGACAAGGCTACTTGTTTTACTGCTTTTACAATTTTCATATCTGCTATCAATGGCCCCTTGTTTCGTACTATTTGTTGCCTAAACATACATTGCGCTTTCTATTTTCAACATTCCCTCTCTTTTGAACTCTGCAATTCTCTCTCAAAGCTCCAGCACAAATGAAGGTCTGTTCTTTTTCCTTTACTGGCTTCTGATTCTTCATCTTCTTTTATTGCGTTTGATGAGTTGTTGTTGATTTCCATTCTGGTTCTCGTTTTATTCGTAAGAATAAAATTGGTTTCTTTGATCTACTCCAATGTTTCATACTTTGATGGTCAGATTTGTTAACTTTCTCCTTTGTTGATTGATGATCTCAAGCATAAATCTCTTGTTTTTAAATCACAGAAGGTTGTTTTGAAGTTGGGTTTGCATGATGACAAAGCCAAGCAAAAGGCTTTAAAGACGGTCTCAACTCTTTCTGGTAGGTACCCCTTCAAAACTTAAACCTTTAATTCAGCCAATTTCCTTTTTCCTCTCTGGGTGTTGTTGTTTCCTTTAATTCAACCATGGGGAAAAGTTTTTCCACTTTTTATCCTTTTCTATTGGCCTTTCCTTTCAAGTTTCCAACTTTGGTGATGGAATACTCTGCATAAAAGGATTCACTTGGTAGCTGTCCAATACTTTTATATTAAACATGGAAAAGGATGGGACTGGATAAATTATTTGCATACTTCCTTAGATTCTAATGTTGTCTCTTGTTGTATTGTTGTGGTTTGTTTTAAATTCTGAGATTTCAATGTAATTGAAATCATATTTTTCTTCTCTTTGATGAACTTGTTTCATTGATATGTAAAATTGGTAGGAATTGATTCCATTGCCATGGACATGAAGGCAAAGCAGTTGACACTGATTGGAACAGTGGATCCAGTAAACGTGGTGAGCAAATTACGCAAGTACTGGCCAACTGACATCGTATCAGTAGGACCAGCAAAGAAACCAGAGAAGAAAGAGGAGCCAAAGAAGGAAGAACCCAAGAAAGAGGAGGAACCAAAGAAAGAAGAACCCAAGAAGGAAGAGAAACCAAAGAAAGAAGAGCCTAAGAAGGAAGAGCCGAAGAAAGAAGAACCCAAGAAAGAGGAAGAGGAGAAGAAGCCGCCGCCGGACCCCGTTTCGGAGCTTGTCAAGGCCTACAAAGCATACAATCCCCATATGACAACTTACTACTATGTTCAAAGCATGGAAGAGAATCCAAATGCTTGTGTTATTTGTTGACATAGAAAATGGTAAAGGGAAAGATAACTTTCTCTAACTAGTGATGGATTTGAATGTCGTCAATCAGAATAGAAGGTAAACCAAAGAAAACTCCTTTGTATATAGATGGTGACGTCTCATTAATCTTCTTTTTTTTCATGTACAAGGAATATGTTCTATAAAAACTAAATAAATGAAATTTTGAAATTTGTTTTTTCTTATGGTAATATCTGGATTGTAACAGTTATAAACGGTTTATTTCTGATTTGAGCATAGAATTACAATTGATTGTTCGTGGTGGAATTATGGAGGTGAATGTCGTCTTGTTCTATAATTGATTGTTTGTAGTGGAATTATAGAGGTGAATGTCGTCTTGTTTTGGAGATACGAAGAATATGGGGGATAATTTTTATCTTTCTAGTCCAGTATTATTGTTTAGTGTTTTATATACGAATCTTTAATGTTGATGTTAAGTCTAGAGTTATAAAAACTATTTGTATAATGATTGAATAAATAGATTTAACTGTCGCTAGATCAACTTGAACGTACAAATGATCACATCATGAATTCATAGTTTTGAACTCATCAACTATATATTTACCCATTAATGTATAGACAATTTATAATCTCCTCAATGTGTTTCTTTTGAATCTTCTTCGTAGTCACCGCCCTAACAAATAGATAAAGCAAAATCAAAATTCCACTTTCGAATGGCAGCTGAATTGTAAAAAAAAACACTTTTTAACACCTTCATGGGTCACAGTAAAATTCTAATTTGGAGATTTCCTGCCAATCATACCAGAGAACTCAATGGTCCCAAATGCATTGGTCGGTTCATTATGGTTCAGGTAATCAATATTCTGCTACAGATTTCTAAATTCAAACTCACCGTCTTTCTATAGTTTGCTGCTGTTAAGGTTAATTGATTTACCCTCATGTAAATTTCAAATATATATATATATTTCCTTCTTGAATTTACAAGCTTGGAATCTCGTGTACTTCATGCAACTCAAATAATTAATAATATTTTTTTGAAAAATCAATAACTTAGCAGAAACCAGAATAAAATACACAGACTGCTGTTTTAAAGCAATATTCCACATTAAGACCACTCCATGAACTGCCGTACAATTCCATGCATTAAAATTGAAACTGCATGTGACCCAAGATGCGTCCATTGTTTCCCCCCCTATAATTTCATTCTTCCTTGCTGATAAAATATTAGGTGGCTCCTCTTTAGGCATGTGCTCCTGTTCTTTAACAAAACTGATTACATTAGTGTTGTCTTGTTCTGAAACACTTCATTTTCCTTGTAACAAAGTTGTTAGCCAATAGTGAAATTACTCAAAGTTTCAGCAAATGCAGGCAGTGGAGGGTTTGAAGACTTGTAAACAAAGCAAAATTACAGTGGATCCAAGTAGATCAGAGAAAAAAGTCTTTGTTTCCAAGTTTCTCCACCGTTAAAAAACCGTTTTAGCCAACTTATCAATGTCTATATATATAGTAAATCAGAACCTATTAAATGACCTCAATTGTAAAAGGATATTGTTATTTCTAGAGAGAATTTGGGTTCAAATAATTATATCATCAATAGAATAAGAAGAACTATGAACAAATACTATATTTTAATCATCTCATACTATATATATATTTCATAAACCAAAAGTTATCAGTTGACCTCAATAATAAAAGAGAATGTTATTCTCCCTAAAATCCCCCGGATTTAAGTAGTTGTATCGGCATAGTTATACATTGTTAATAGGATAAGAAAATTTCTGAAAATATACTGTATATTTTTAATCATCTTAGACTATATATAGGGATGGAGCGAGGATCAAATATTGGGAGGGACAAGATATCTTAGTTTAAAATAATAATGGGTTATTAAGTATTTAATCTAAATTTGGGAGACAAACATCTATTTTTACTTAAATTTAAAGTAATAAGGAAAATGCTATTAAACAAATAAAAAAGTTGGGTATAGTTCCGTCCCTATATATATATATATATATATATCGTCAATCATGAGGTGGAAGAAAAGATTAAGATGAGGAAAGTAAAGCTTTTTGGACGGCAAACAGAAGCTTACGCAAGTGATTGTTGAGCAAAGAAAGACAAAGATTGAAATTGTCTTGTATAGATATAGCAGTTAAGCATTTAAAGAGATAAGTTGGAAGATGGAAGCAAGTAGTGCGGATTTGGGTAATGGTGGGGGCAAGAGGATAGATGTCTCTTCACCTTGTTCCAGAAATTAGCTTAAATCATACGTTTCTCAATTTATGTTTTGTTGTACTGAATTATATCATTTGTATCAAATTATTTTTTAAAATATTTTTTAAGATATTTTATTATCTTAATTATAAATTGTTATCTTATTTATCTCAAACTGTTAACATCGTTTAAAAAAATATATCGGATCAATCAAAACACACTACGTTATCTCTTATTTTTATTTTTTTAATCTAAATATACAAAAATTAATTAATAAAATAAAACATATAAACTACTGAAATTACCCCTCTTCATCTCCACCATAAACACCACACTCCTTTTCCTACCCCAACACCTCTGTAAATTAATGATCATCAAAATCATCTAAAACTTGAATAAAAATTTTCGACCTTGGCCACTCCGATATGCACATTGTAGCAATGGAGTGTTGGTAAACCTGCAATATATATATATATATATATATATATATATATAACCCAATGAGAATATAACCATTGAAAGACATCTTTAACACCGAATGGCGCCGTGAAAATGTTCTTTAATTGAAGCTCCGAAGCAACAAATGATGCCAGCCGTTATAATACGCGGTGATCTCGAAATCGAGTAACAATAAAGATAACCAAAGGAACAGTTTGGTGCACGTATGGAACCCGGTTCTAACGGTTCTATTTTCACAGGAGGAACTATTCTCGGTGTCGGTTCGACCGGAGTTGATTCGGCGGCGGATGGCTGGACCGAGAAGCTAGCAATGCAAAAGAAAGAAACCCATATGGTGGAAACTCCATTGCCAGGTCTTTGTGTTCTGCTCAAATCCATTGCAACGGGAGAGGGGGCAGTTTCGGGGAAGAAGGCCATAGAGCCATTTTGTGTTAGGGAAAAGAGAGAGGGGTAATTTCGGTAGTTTACCTTTTTTTTAATTATTTGATTTTTATTTATTTAGATAAAGAAAATAAAAATTAAGGAGTGACGTGACGTATTCTGATTGGTCCGTGAATTTTATTTTTAACAGTGTTAATGGTTTGGAGCAAACGGATAAACGAGTAATGGTTGAGTAGAAAAAATATATAAAAAAAATATTTTAGGAGATAACTCGATACAAATGGTATAATTCAAAGTACAATGAAACATTTAAACCTTCACAATTTGGTGCACTCAACCAACCTCATTAGTTACTTCATATATAATACGGTAACAAAGCTTCAGTTTATGTTCCAACCTCCATTACGTGTTCTATAATTTATATTTCTTCTTTTTGGTTAAAATTTGGAATAGCATTAGTTATATCAATACAGCAACTGTAGACAATCCATACAGCTCCTTAAAATTCTTTAAAAATAAAAGAAAGAGTAAATTACACCAAATATTATACCATTGAATTTTACTATTAAAATTTATTTTGTTATTCTATTTAAAATTGATTCAACTATAACCCTGCACTTTAATTTAGGCTTTAATTATATTATTGGACCCTTAACTATAAACATCACAATAACATAGACGACAATTTTTGTCATTATGCCGACGTAAATGTTGAAATAAAATGATACTGTTTTGTTATAATTATTTTGAGCTTCTTTAGACATCAAAACAATTAGATTAAAATGATGTCATTTTGATACAACATCCGAATTAATGATATTAAAACGAAAATTAAAATTTAATATTGTAATTGAATCAATTGAAAGTATAACAATACAAATATATATCATAAAAAATTCAGTGATATTTGACGTAGTTTATCCTTTTATCCGTAAGGAGTGTCAAAACTTTTTAAGATTAAATATATATTTTTTCTATTATATCCCTTTATTGTGGTTCCATCCATGATTGGGAAATGATTTAGAACCTTCACAGTTTTTCATTCATGAATGATAGAAGAAAAAGGTATTATTATTGCTTTTAATTCAATTGTGCTTACTATTTTTTTTTTTGGTGCGTACATACATGAGTTGTTGAAAGTTGTGGTAGAACTGTACCTTAATCCAAAATATGGAACACGCATATACACAAATTTTAAGTCAAGTGGATTCCACAAAAGAAAATTATGGAAAAGGACACATTGTAGGTAGCTGTTCAGACGTTGTATGTCAGAGACTTTCAACCTGTCATGGTTGAAATACGAGTATATTACTTGTAATGCAAATCTATTTATATTATTTTTAATGTGTCAATTTTGATCAACGTCACTATAATTATTTTAACTTTGTCATTCATATTTATAAGTGACTTTTAAACCAAGACTTCAAATAATAATCAAAATCATGTTTTTATTTTATATTTCAGTGGGTCATACTTCTAAGTAATTTTTACGAGTGTTTGAATAAAATAAATCTTACAAAAATAGATTTTTTGTAAGTATACATTTTGTTTAATTTTGTATTAATTACTTCTTCTTTATGTGATCATTCCATACTTGAAATTAGAGATAAATCAATCATTACATTGGTGGAGTTAATCAGATCAGCATTAATACAAAGACTTGAAAGAAAGAAAAGAAAAAGAGAGAGATCAAGAGGAGAAGCTTTGTGAGGTTTTGTATCATATATAGAAAAAGCTAGACTGTAGGATATCATTGGAACATATGTGTAACAACTTGGTTTATGTTATACTTGCAGTTTTTTTGTGTTATACGAATGTTGGTTCATTTATGTTGGAGGATCAATGAACCAAGTTTCATGTAGTCATTCAAACAAGAACTTGATCATGTAGAAAAAATAAACTGATAATTTTTAATTACTATATCGTCCTTTACTTATTGCATGAAGACCCAAACTGATGACAATACAATACCTCTCCCAAAAAAATGTTTACATCTATTGCATGAACAACTCCTATAATATCAAAACTAGGGGTTTTGCTTTTCTTTAAATAAGAAACACT